TGTGTGTGTGTGTGTGTCTGTATATCTGTGTGTGTACGTTTGTGTGTGTACGTTTGTGTGTGTACGTTCTGACACTGAACTTTATGAAAATATCTCATTCCTTTTAAATAAAACTTTGTTGTGGTCATTGGAAGAATGGGACAAGGATAGGAATCAGTCTTCCCCTCCCAACTGGGTTATCATATATTTCTGAAAGGCCATGTTCTATCTAGTGGCATTGATGTGTTTGTTGAAGAATAGTTGTACATCTCCATAAAGCACCACAGAAGAAACACTAAAGTCTGGAAGTACAGAACAACCCAAATTAACATCTTCTTCCACTGAAATATATTGACTATATGTTTTTATCTTCTAGCTCACCACTCCTTTGCTAATTCACTACTCCAGACAGAAGTAGGACACTAAATACATTTATGGAGGAGATACATAGATTTTTAATTCGTAATGGATGAGAGGGTTATGGAGAGCAGGCAGGAGAGTGGTGTTGAGGCCAAGGTGAGACCAGCCATGATGGTATTAGATGGCAGAGCGAGCTTGAGGGCCTGAATTGACCACCCCTGCTTCCAGTTTGCAAGTTCCTATGTAATTGCACTGACTTGGCTCAACTGGTAGAAATCTGATGTTTCTAAATCTGAGGAATGTGGGGTTGAGTCAGCAATGGGGTATAATCTAGGTTAACACCATGAGGCAGTGTTCAGTTGGCATACTATCCTTATGAATAAAAGCTGGGTATATCTCCTTGGTGACCTGTTATTGATTGACCAGAGGTGGCACTGTGCATGCTTTGGGCTGTTTTGGAGCCATGTTGGAAAACACAGTGACCATTTTACCCAATTAAATGTCTCATGAAAAGAATAGAGCACAGCAAGATCCAAATTCTATCCCTCAATCTCAAAGCAAAAGTCTGTCTCTTTTGCAACTGGTTTCTAAACCTGGCCCTGAGGACCTATCTCAGTTTGAGATGGTGCCCAGTTATCATTGGGTAGGCAGCATTTCTGCAGCTAATGGGTCACCAGGCAATCTGGGACAAAATCAAATAAGTTAAATCCAAGCCTTGAGGCCAGCACTGGTGGTAGTTCCTGCCTTCCCTTTTCCCTGCTGTAGTGTCTGAGCTCACCTTCATCCCACAGAGCACCCAGGTACTCTGGCCCTTGACTTCCCACCAATACTTGGAAGGAGTGAGCTTCTGGGCATGACATGTACCACATCGAGATATTTTTATCACGCAGAGTTCTGACCGCACACACTGCTGAGATCCTCTCAGAAATCTGGAAGATTACTGCAGACCCACCCCCTTAACCCAATCGTCGGTGAATAGGGTACAATTTAAAATTCTCATCTTTGTCTCCCCATCATTCCCAGCCCCGCCCTGCTCGTCCAGCCCCACAAACCTCCTAGATCTCTGCATTCCTCCACTCCAACCCTGATTTCCTGCAGATCCGCCTTTGCAACCATTTCATCTTTGTTCCCCCCACCCCAGCTCATAATCTTTGGCATCCCCTCCCTCAAGCCTTCATCTATCTCCCCCCGACCCCTCTCTCTCTCTTCTCCTGAAGAATCTAAATCTTTGGCCATGTTTTCAGCCATGTATGTTCCGACCCGTGGCTTGATGTTGAATTCTGCTGGATAATGCTCCCACCAGTTTGATACTGGCCCTATCCAAATGTACAATCCAACTACCTGTTCTGCCTGTTCCTGCTGCTTCCGGAGCTGTTCCAGCATCTGCTGGAATTCTTTCTCCTTCTGGGCTTTCTCTGCAATGGTGGCCTGGTTTTGCTCATCGTAGGCCATGGCGACGACAGCCAGGATCAGGTTAATGAGATAGAAGGACCCGAGGAAGATGACAAAGACAAAGAACAGCATGTACGCCTTTCCAGCGGATCGCAGAATCTACGATTCCAAAGCAGAAAAGAAAGACAAATGAAGTGTGGTGAGACTGCAGCTTTATGCGGAGTATCTCATCCTGGCTTTTATTTTGAAGAGAGGTTTTAAGGCAGGGCGCTGGGTAGTCTATCTGATCCACGAGAGTAAACAGCTTGTGACGCCTTAGAGATTTTTTTTAAAAGCTGGAACAATAGAAGAGCCTGAATGGGTGGGGTCAAGCTCCCACAGAACCAGGATTTTTAGTTTTCAGCAGTTGTTGCTGGGGTCTCAGCAGGGTTGGAAGCTGCAGTAAATCTCTCCCGGCTCCTACCCTCTGTCAGAACATTTTGTCAATGTTTCTTTCACTCCTGGGCTGCTGGAGTGCACGTCAGACAATCTGTTTTCTGAATTTGCCTTTTGCCAACATTGTGCTTACAGGATGTTACTACATTGGAATAGTTAATTAGCAATTGTTACTGTATCTATTATTCTGTTAAGTTTCCCAACAGACTTAAGTTAGATAAATGGAGTCCTATAGCACAGAGACAGGCCCTTTGGCCCAAACTGGTCTGTGCCGACCAAAATGTTCATCCATACTAAGCCCTTTTCCTTGCACTTGGCCCATATCTTTCTAAATCTTCACTATCCATGTATTAGTTTTTTTTTCATTATTAATTCGGGGGATAAGGACGTTGCTGACCAAGCCAGCATTTATTGTCCATCCCTAGTTGCCCAGACGGCTCACATTGCTGTGGGTCTGGAGTCACATGTAGGCCAGACCAGGTAAGGATGGCAGTTTCCTTCCCTAAAGGATATTAGTGAAGCAAATGTTTTTTTTTCCCCAACAATTGGCAATGGATTCATGGTTGTCATTAGATTTGCAATTCTAGATATCTTACCGAATTCAAATTCCACCATCTGCCGTGGCGGGATTCAAACTCCACGTCCCCAGAACATTATTCATGTCTCTGGATTAACAATCCAATGATAATACCACTAGGCCATTGCCTTCTCATATTTGTCCAGATGCCTTTTAAATGTTTTAACGTACTGACCTCAACCACTTCCACCAGCAGCTCATTCCATATGCATACCACCCTCTGTGTAAAAAAAGTTGCCCCTCAGGTTCCCATGTATTCTTTCCCCTCTTACCTTAAACTGACGTCCTCTAGTCCTCGATTCCCCAGCCCTGGGAAAATGTTGTTCCAATTTCTTCTTTCTTTTGTTGTATATTAACCACAGCGGATAAATAAATTGTTTTGCTTTAAAAGAGTGCTGGGCGTGTGGAATGCGCTGCCAGCAGTGGTAGTGGAGTCAGATACATTAGAGACATTTAAGCAACTCTTGGATAGGCACATGGAGGATAGTAAAATGTGGGGTGTGCAGGGTAGATTGATCTTAGTAAGCTAGTAGATTGGCACAACATCGTGGGCCGAAGGGCCTGTACTGTGCTGTACTGTTCTATGTTCTATGTTAAATCCGATAGTTTGACCAATCGAATTACATCTGGAACGCAACACCTTATAATTTACTTTTAAAATAAGGAAAGGTCTAGACTATCTCCTAAATACATTGAGGGGGTGTGGTCTGGTCCATAACAGGAGAACAGAGAGGTCATGGGAGTGAGACAAGCCAGCGCTGGTCAATCGGGACGTTTTCTGTGCAGGTTGGTATCAGTGCCACTAACCTGGTGATAAAGATTCTCCCAGAAGTCCTGGGTCATCAGGCGAAAGAGAGAGAGAAAGGCCCAGCCGAAGTTATCAAAACTGGTGTAGTCATAATCTGGGTTCATCCCAGCTTTCAAACATGTATAACCCACAGGGCACTTCCTGTGAAAAGCAAGAGGACACCCAAAAACAAATTACACTCAGCTCAAATAAATTTCCAACGACTCCAAACAGGAAAAAAAACAAATATTCACAAAGGTTAAGGGAGAGAGATAAGTAAAAGAGTGGATTCCAGTCCCGGAGTAGAGATATGTTTGACTGAAATGGTTCTGAGTCAAGCTGTGATGTTACTGTCAGCTCCATAGACACGTGTTGATGCTTTGCTAACAGACCTTCCACCTCCTTGAGCCTGCTGCTCTATTGTCTTACCATCGCGTAACACAAGGTACTAAGAAGTCGGCCTCAAATTGTGTTAAGAGCCTAAAGTCCCACACAAGGACATTATTTTTGACGGGGAAGACATGGTCAAAGTCAACTGGCCTTACTTTGAGCAGACCCATATTAACAAAAGCACAAGAAGTGGGGGTGGGGGATTAATCAAAATGGAGGACAGTGCTCACGCTGCAGTGTTTTGGTAAAGACCTACACAAACTGGAGGAACAGCACCACAAGGTCTGCTCTCCGCACGGCCAATCCATTTTTCATTATTCACAAATATCGTTTAACACTTGTTTTGCACCTTAATCCCTCCTTTACCACCATTAGCACCCCGTTTGCCTTTTGCTGTGGGCAGCCTCACCATCTGTTCCACTCACTCCTTCTCCCTCTTTGTCAACAGCATAAAAACACCATTTTCCAGACCTGTCAGTTCCGAAGAACAGCCATACTGGACTCAAAACATTAAATTTGTTTCTCTCTCCACGGAAGTTGCTGGGTTTCTCCAGCAGTTTCTAAAAAAAATCTAGATCACCGTAGCCACTATCTCCGTTATCTAAACATGCAAATTAGGAGAAGGTGTGGCCTCTCATTCCCTCAAATGTGTTCTATCTTACAATAATGTCATGGTGATCAGGTCACTCCACATTTCTGCCTACTCATGATAACCTTTCACCCCCTTGCTTATTGAGAATCTCTCGACCTTTGTCTTAAAAATATTCACAGATTCTGCTTCCACTGTTTTATCAGGAGGAAAATTCCACATCATACATAACCCACTGTAAGAAATTAAATTCTCCTCATCTCCTTATTCTTCAACAGGGACCCATAGGTTCTAAAATCACCCACAAAAGGAAACATCATTTTCCATATGCACCACCTCTCACGACCCCTCAGGTTCTGATATGTTTCAGTCAAGAGTCTACATTAAACAATGCAGAGGAGAGACACCAGGTTGTTGCCTAGGCTAGAGTGAGTCAGCTGTGGAGACAGACGAGATAGGCATGGAGCTGTTTTCCTCAGAGCAGGAGGAGGAACTGACTGAGATGTACTAAATTGCGAGGAACATAGATCAGAAAGATAGGGAGAACATATTCCCTCTTGGTCCAGGGATTGATAACCAGTCAGCATAATTTTAAAATAAGGAGCAGAAAGTTTAGAGGGGATCTGGGGAAAACTTCCTTCTCCCAGACAGTAGTGAGTACCAGATCCCACTGCCTAAAAAGGATGGTAGAGACAGGAACCGTCAAGACATTTAACTCCAAAGAGGCCCATCGCCAAGTCCCCCTTTATTTACTTATGGAGAGTCCTTGACACTGACCCAGCTCCCTCAGAGCCAGCTCTCAGAGTGAACAGAATCTCTGACACCTGTTTCTATCTGTCAGCCAGGGCTCCCTGATTGGGGCTATTAACAGTCTCATATTCTTTGAGGTCCAGCTGGCTGGCCTTGTTACAACCACGAATATGAACACTAGAAACGATAAACAAATTGTAGGAAAAAGCTCAGCAGGTCTGGCAGCATCAGTGGAGAGAAATACGAGTTAACATTTCGAGTCCAATAACCCTTCTTCATGAACCAGAATCTGAAATGACATAGCATACAAGGTTAGGGCCAAGTGTTGGAAAATGTGATTAGAATAAAATGATGCTTGATGACCAGTGTGGACACAAGGGGCCGAAGCATCTCTTTCTGTGCTGTCAAAACCTTATGACTATGACTCTCAGTTGTCTCTTAGTCTTCTGTACTCCAATGAATACAGGCCTAGTCTGTCTAGCCTTTCCTCGGAAGATAACCCATTCATTCCAAATATTTGTCCAGCAAACTTTCTTCAACATTATTACCCGTATGCCTGCACTATTATAGAAAAGAAGGCTCCATTGAAAGAAGGGAAATTGAAGTATTTTAGTTGCATCACTGTGTAGTGATGGGTTACTGTTATGAAGCTTATTTTCTCACTGAGCTGCTGTCACAGCATTACTTTGGCTCAATGTATTGCTCACCTCCAGTCCCGTCCTTCAACCCTGATTCATTTCTGTGAAATTGTTACGGGATTCACTCCATCCTTTGCACATATCACGTGGCGAACAATCATGATCTTCACCGCCACAAGAAACGACACCATAATTGGTGGTATAATCGACAGTGAAGAAGGTTATCTAAGAGTACAACAGGATCTTGGTCAAGTGGGCCAGTGGGCCAAAGAATGGCAGATGGGGTTTAATTTAGATAAATGTGAGGTGTTCCATTTTGGTAAGACAAACCAGGGCAGGAGTTACACAGTTAACGGTAGGTCTCTGGGTGGTGTTGTCAAACAGAGAGACCTAGGGGTACAGGCACACAGTTCCTTGAAAGTGGAATCGCAGGTAGACAGGATGATGAAGAAGGCATTTGACACACTTGCCTTCATTGGTCATAGCACTGAGTACTGGAACGGAGACATCATGTTATGGCTGTACAAGAGGTTACATTTGGAGCACTGCTTATAATTCTGATCACCCTGCTGTAGGAAGGATCGTATTTATCTAGAAAGGGTGTGAAAAAATTTACAAGGATGTTACTGAGACTCAGTGAGCTTGCTCCACCTCCTGTTTCCTGAAATCTTACATTATATCCTCCATCATGGTGAGCTGTCAGAGCAGGGATATAGAGCAGACCAAACCTAATACTCAGATGGTGACATTATGGAGACAGTTTGGGTTGAGGGATGATCTCATTCAGGTGATTTGAGAAAGGGATATGTTGGGTCATGTTTCATGGTCAGTGTGTTAATGTTATTCTAAGAGATGTACGCACAGTATCATCCCTCTGTCTTAGCATAATGACCAGAGGATACAAAGATCTCATACTCCTTCTTACCTCAGAACAGTCCGAAGATGTACAGCATAGGTGGATCGGCCATGTTAAATTGTCCATAGCACCCAGGGATGTGTAGGCTAGGTTAATTAGCCATGGCAAATGCAGGGTTACAGGGATAAGGTGGGGGAGGGGGTTAGGTGAAGGTCTGGGTGGGATGCACTTCGGAGAGTTGGTGTGGACTCGATGGGCCAAATGGCCTCTATCTGCACTGTAGGAATGTATGATCACTTGTAACATGTCACTTTTGCTAAGAGCATACAACTGTTGTAACCTCATAACACTATATTAGCCCAGACACTTAATGGGTTTGAGGAATGTAATGTTTGCATTTAATGGGTAGTGACAATGAATGTCTTTTGGAATTTTCAATACCATGATATCCATTCCAGCTTCTCATGTTATGAGAGATGCCATGAGCAGTGCTGCCTCAGGTAAATACACCTTACTGGAGGTAAATCCACATCAGGATAGAACAGAGGCAGAGAAACCAAGTCATTCAGTGGGAAAACCCAGGACATAAAGGCACAAGATTTGAACCAGACTGTTCGAGGAGGAAGTACTTTTTCACAGAGAAGGTGCCAAAAATCTCATCGCCACTGGATCCTGGAGCTTCTAGACTGAGAGTCATAGTTTGTTTGTTGCTATCAATTGCAATTGGAGCTCAGGTAAAGGGAGTTGAAGGCTTTCATAGACCAGCTATGAGATTGGTGGAACAGGCTTACAATTACCAACACAAAGCAATCTTTAAAAAAAGTGTTAACTGACTCAGCTCGTTAAAAAGCAGCAAATTATCACAGGAATCAAAATTCAAGTAACTAAAAATCCTTTCCGACACAAAAAAGGCAAACTGAGATGGCCACGATAAGAATCTGTTTATTTTTCTCCATAGTGCAGACAGCTTAAGTAGCCCATAATCATTGCATGGATGAAGGAAGCTGTCATCACCATGGCAACACCAGCTAAGGTGGCTGCAGCTTGTGAAAATTACTCCATGTGAGGTCTGCTCACCCTTTCCCCGTTTATGAGGAGAAACCAACACCATTTCCCACAAACAGAGGCACAGACAGCTGCAGAAATACTTCATAAATGGTGAAGAGGTAGCAAACCACAATCTGTAGGCCTCAGTCCCTACTCCAAACAACATCACATCAACCAATGGTCAATTAATGATCTCACACATTAGATGCCTCAATGAATCTGATCAGCTTGGGTACTGTTCAGCGTACACTGCTGTCAATTTGTTTTTTAATCATTCATGGGATATGGGCATCCTGGCTGGGCCGTCATTTATTGCCCATTCCTCTAGTTGCCCTTGAGGAGGCGGTAGTGAGCTGCTTTCTTGAACCACTGCAGTCTATGTGCTGTAGGCTATTATTGTTAATAATTATTGATGCTGTTTGTGAGGGATTTCGAGGATTTTGACCCAGTGGCACTGAAGGGGAGGCAGTGGCATTATGGTAATGTGACTAGTAACACAGAATATTAGGTCACTGTTCCAGGGACATGGGTTCAAATCCCACCATGGCAGATGGTGAAATTTGAATTCAATAAAACCTGGAATGAAAAGCCAGCCTAATGTTAACCATATGACCAATGGTGATTGTCGCAAAAACCCACCTGGGTTTGTGGAAGAAACCCCTGGTTTGGTCTACATGTGACTCTAGACCTACAGTAATTTATTTGACACTTATCTGCCCTCTGGGCTATTAAGGGTGGGCAATAAATGCTGGCCTAGCCAGCGACACCCACATCCCATGAATGAACAAAAAAAGGATGGTGAATGACTTGGAAGGGATCTTGAAGGTGGTGGTATTCCCATACATCTGCTATCCTTGCCCTTCTACATGGAAGTGGTCGTGGGTTTGGAAGG